TATATTAGTTTTGTAAAGTTTGAGGTTAAATCTTGCAAATTTCCACTTGTGTTTAATATGAAGTTGCTCTGACAGACAGTGCTGGGCCTTGAGTGTATGAAGAGCCTTAGATTCTAAAAATATAAGACTTTGTGTAGTTGCCTGTTTGCATTCATGGAAATTTTTGTAAATGTTCCCCTTTCTTGGGAGTTGCAGGCCAGACGGTATACAGATAAATAAACAGGGCTGTAATTAAAAACAAACACGCAAACATGTTGATGGACAGGCCTCACACGCTCCCGGTCGGGCCGTCTCTCCAGTGTTTTCGTTTTAGTTTATGTGTTACTTTTCTCTCTGTAACTGACTCAGACTTCTGCACAGCTCTCCCACTCCCACAGCCTACATGTGTGGCAGCCTTCAGGCTTACACTAACAGATAGCATCATTGCCGACCTAAGAGAGTTACAGACAGTGACTGATGGTTTTCCCTGCTCAACGTTGGGCCCTCGGAGGATTGAAGAGCTTGTAATACAGAGAGGGGACTTCCCCGGTGTTTCTCCTCTGGACTTCATGTTTTCACTGTACCTGCAGAGTCAAAACAAAACAAAAATACATCTTTGTAATATTTCTTTATATGAAACATGTTGGAAAACCATACGTCACAGCAGTAGCATTCACACTGTGAACCACCATAGTAACATGATAAACATCATGTCTGCCATTAGTGGAAATAAGGCAAATAATGTGAGTCACTCATTCTCATACTTCATCCCTGTGTCCATTCTGCATCAGCAACATATATGAAAAGGAGCGGCCAAAAAGCTTCACTTTTGACCTTGGCTTTGCTCTCGTAAAAATAGGTGGGGGAAAATGTGAGCTGAGGATGGGTTCACGCCCAGTCAGCTTCAGGTGAGTCATTTTATGTGGCAGTTCAGGTTGCAGTCAGTCCAACCGCCCGCGTCTTCTTGTGGCTGGTGCAGGTCAAATGCTGGTTGGAGAGTGAAGGGAAAAATTGAAGTAGACTTCATTTATCCTCAACTGTGACAGGTGTGTTTTATGTAGTTTTTTTTTTTTTTAAGTTTACCTAAATCCCTCTCTTTCTCTCCACAGGAGCCTGTTCCCTGGTCGGACTGCCAGATGACTGCATCTGTCACCATGAAATGGTCAGTGTCTTCAATCTCAGCTTTAGACAAAATGTTATTTAGAGAAAAAAACAAACCGAGGTGCATTGACCTGCTGGGTGTTTTGCTCTTGTCATGTCGCTAAGTTGACAAAACAAACTTTTATTAGAGATTCCCCCGAGAGGGATTTGCAGGTTTGGAAGTGAACAAAGTCTTAGAATTCCTCACTGCTGTGGCAAATCCCATGCAATTCCAGTCTGTATTCCGTGGTGAGGGGCTTTAAGCCCCATTGTTCTTGTTGTTGCATTAACAGCTTGGATGTGCATCTGTATCTCTGCTCTGCCCCAGGGGAAATATTCAGATGACCTTACAGTCAGGGAACTTTGATTGGCTCTTGGCAGGGCTTTCCCAAAAGCCCCAGGTTTCTGTTGCTGAATAAGTGGAGGCATGTTTACTGGACAATTACTGGCCTTAATTCCACAAATAAAAGGATGAGTGTTGAATGAGAGCATAACTCCTGCCCACTGTCCACAGAGATTTCTGGACCTCATCAGCTGCTTTGGTTTACAGCCATCATTTGATCTGCTGCGGGTCACCCACATCATGGATGTACGCTCAAAGACTATAGGCCCAGGATTTATTACCTGACTCTTCCCACAAGAGCTGTGCTTTCTTGTGATGTCCTAAAATAAACATGCCCCCCGCCCTCTCCCCTTTAATCCAGTGTTTGGGTCTGCCTGCTCAGTTTGTAGTGGGCTGACGAGGGGCCTCTGTGGAGAGCGTTTCCCTCCTCAGTCAATGACAGTGTGATGACCACCCCTCGCTCTCTCACTAACTTAACACAACCTCAGAAAACATAGTATCTTAGGCAATTAAATAATTCAAATATGAGAGGCCCGGGCAGAGAGGAGGTTGAACACATGGTACAGAACCATAAATAGAACTGGGGAGAAACTGACTTTTTTAAAACAAATAGCTAATAGAGAAATATAAAAATGTTTCTACTTTTTATAAATTGATTTTATCAGTATGAGTTCAAATCTATTTCCTCCAGGTTGTTAGAGTAGGGTAAGAAATACAGTATGTCCGTAAGCTAATCTCTCAAAGTAAGTAGTGAATCCAATTAGGGAAGAACTTCTTTGCTGATTATCAGTGTGTTATTGCTTAAAACCAGGTGAGAGCCGTCAGGGGAGAAGTGAAGGAGCTGCGTCCATGTGTTTTTGTTTTGAGGGAAATTTATTAAAAGCCTTTGTTTAAGAATCCAAGGACTGACCTGCGCAGTGCCGCCCTTCTTCTTCTTCTTCTTCTTCTTCTTCTTCTTCTTCACTCTCTCCAATCTCGTTTGTGCCTTTAATCAAACGGACATCTGGATTTCATTGTGCGTTGTGGAGGCAGCGGGGCCTGATTGCTGTTAAGCAGACCACGCGATGATGTCACTTTTCATTAATATTGACGCTGCCCATAGCAGTCGCATTTGTCTTGCTGTCTAGTGACACAGAGACCTTAACGTGAACATAACAGTGAAGGTGAACAATACATGAGCCAGCTGAGAAAACAGGCAGATGCTGCAGGACGCACTCTGATAGTTTTAGTTACAGGTAAATCATTTTTGTACAAACAAACAAGTATGTAGTTTAATTAGAGTACTTATCCGATACTTTAGGTATCAAATGACATACGATGTAACAGAAGCAACGTTTCAATCAAGTGGAACCACTTATTTCAATATTTAATAGCATCCCTGATGTTAAAATCCCTTTAAACTGTTGCTTGCTGAACTTTAGCCCCTCCTGGTTCCCAAAGCTGGTAGCAATAAAGCTACTTAATGAGATACTTCTACAATATTTCCAGTGCTACGTTGAATTTGTTCAGAATTCAAGTGCTCTCAGTGTTTGGCGTGTTTTTAATACGGAGTCACAAACGGGACGACTCATCGCAGGTTCAAGCGCCGTCACAGAACAACGCTGTGACCTTTTCAAAGTGTTTCACAGCACTAAGGTTTCATGGACGTTTGACAGTCAGGGTGGACTCTGTTTTAGGCCATTGTGTCCATAAATTTAATCTGTTACTGTTAAGTCTACACCCTTTTCCAGAGCTGTGTTATGTCTGGCGTATACATGCTGCAACCGCGTCAATGCAGATTAAAAGCTAAATGAAAAATGAGGTATGGAAGTAAGTTT